ATGATAATGAACAAACAAATAATGCCTAAAAGTGAATGACAATATCACAAAATACCATATATATGTAATAGATAAAAAGAACAAAACTGGTTTATTATTTGATATGACTATTGTGGATGACAACAATATTAATTGAGTGTAAATGAAGAAATATTTTTTATAAAGAATTAAATATTTTTTAATGAAAATAGAAAAATTAAAAGATGTCAAAATAAATCCAGTAGTAATCTCAATCAATGGAATAATGAATAAAGAAAGTAATAAATTAATTAAAGAATTAAAAATTGACATTGACATCGAGAAAGAAATTAAAAAACTTTGTCATAAAAAACATGAATGATGTCATGGAATACTGCGGAGATCACAATCAAACATACTTCATAGAAATGCTTGAAGATGAAGAATTGACGGGATTAGTCTCCCCTGAGCCAGGAAGAATAGAAGCTATTTCTATTAATACTTAATGAATGGATTTTTATTTAATTTCTTTTATTGTCTTTTCTTTGTTTATTTCTTCTTTTTATATTTTTCTTTGATGCTTATATTAATTTGAATAACTTCTTTATTTCTTATTTTATGATGAGTATTTCATTGTCGCTATATTATTATATATCTTTTCATTTATTATTAATATCATTTATATCATTTTATTTTCTTATTATTATTTCATATTATCTTATTTCATTCTTTCTATTATTATCTATTACATTTCTTAATAAATTACTTCATCATAATCAATTATTATTTGATATTTCATTATTTGATTTTGTATTAATGTTTGTGTGTGTTTTTGATTTAACACTATCTCTATCCAAAAATAAAAATTGTTATAAAAAAAATAAATGACATTTTGTTAAAACCAAAAAAATAATAAAAAATCTTTTTAATAAATTTTACTAATTGTTAAATTTATTTCCCAATTGAGGAGAAAATTCTTAAAAAGGTGATGTTTAAACTATAATAAGTTAGTTTTTTTTAGTATTAAAAACAAAATGGAATGACATTTATTTTATTTGAATGTAAAATAAAACCATATTAAATACCACTAAAAATGAACTTAAAACATCATTTCATGACTGTAGAACAAGACTCATTTTCAATTGGAATAGATTTAGGAACTACGTACTCTTCTATTGGATATTTTGATGTTATTAAAGGTGAATCTGTCATACTTCAAGATGACCTCGGAAAAGAACAAGTAGCGTCATGGGTTAGTCTTTCCCAACTAACTACAGGAGGTTTTATGACTATAGGAGATGGTGCTAAAAATGACGCTAATAGTGAATGTGTTATTTATGATTCTAAAAGAATTATAGGAAGAGATGAAGGTGAAGTGAATTATGAAGATTGTGATAAATGGCCATTTGAAGTAAAAGGTAGAGATAATGGAAGTGCATATATCGAATGTTATAATCCACAAACACAAGGTATTGAAGAATTTGAACCAGAAGAAATAAGTGGAATGATATTAAAACATATGTATGATATAGCACAAATGAGACTTAATAATAAAGTAATAACAAATGTTGTTGTTACTGTTCCAGTAGATTTTAAGGATAAACAAAGAAATGCAACATTGTTAGCATGTAAATTAGCAGAAATTAAGAATGTTGAACTTGTTAATGAACCAACAGCAGCTATTGTTGCATATAAAAGAGAATATCCAAATTCATTAACAGAAGGAAATAGAGTTGTAGTAATTGATTTTGGAGGAGGAACATTAGATGTAGCATGTTGTAGAATAGGAAAGGATGAAAATATTCAAGTAGAATCAAGTGGAGGAGATCAAAATTTAGGAGGAAATGATTATGATATAGTAATGATGGACATTATTAAACAAAGAGTAGAAGACGGCGTTGAAGGATATTATGAAAAGAAACAAGGAATGACTCAACAAGAAAAGATAATTCTTAATAAGAAATTAATTAGATTAAAGAAAGAAGCAGAAAGAATTAAAATTGAATTAAGTGGGAAACCAGATGCTGAATTAGATTTAGAAACATTATTACCTGATAGTGATGATTATGATAATGATGTGTTTGAACCTACCATTACAAGACAAGAATTTGAAGAAGAATGTAAAAACAGAGGATTATATGAAAGATTTATTAATAAAATAAAACAAGTCACTCAAAGAAAAGGATATAAAAAAGGAAATGTTCAATTAGTATTATTCATTGGTGGTACATCTAAAATGCCAAGAATTAAACAAGAAGTTGGGAAGTTATTTAATATACAAACATTTGCTGATAAGAATTTTAATCCACTTACTGCTGTTGCAAAAGGAGCTGCATATTTATCATATTTAAAACAAGAAACTGCAATTGGTCATGAAGTTATATATGATAGTGTTCCAACACCAATTGGAATTGAAGTAAAAGGAGGAAAATTTGAAAAACTTA